CTTCGATACTGATTATTTAAGATTTACTAAAATGTTAATATTTATTTCTTACTACATTTGTTCTTAAAAAGTTACGAAAAAAAGGAAAAAAATAGTAATTTTCTAGGGTTATTTATAAATCATAGACAGAAAATAAATAATGAATATAATAAATATATTTAACCAGCTATATTAGCTAACATTTGTTTTAAAAGTGTACAATGTAATTTACAAGTAAACGCGTTCAAAACTAACAAATTCAGTTCATTTGGAATCATGTTTCCAAACTTTTAAGTTAAGTTGGATTAGGATTTCTTGTTATGATAAAAAAATCGATTTTCTAAAGTATTTTATTTATAAATTCCTATTTTTATTTTATTAGGTATTATCCAATGCTATTAGGTATTATCCAAATGCCCAAATTTTATCTTAGAAATTAATTACAAACGATTTTGTTGCTCAAAGATACTTTTCAATATTTTGTTTTATTTTCTCAAAAGATGCCCTTTACTGTTTCTAAAAGTTGAATATTTCCCGAATCGATATCGTTTGAATTGTTCACGCGAACACTAAATTTTTTATCGGATCAAACATGTAACTCCTTCTAGAGCGAAAAACCCACAAAAAAATTAAATAGCCATTTAGGAAAATGGATGCGTTGGCGACTTAATTGTGTACAAAACGATCTAAATCTAAAAGACCTCGCACTGTAAGGTACATGCTTTAGTACTTTATTCACCCCTAACTACCCCTCGTAAAGTAAAATGCAAGAATAGAAATAAACGTAAGGTTGTCATCAACCGCGTATTGAGTTTATTTGGGAAATAATGTGGGCATTCAAAATTAAAACCTAAACTGACTTTTCCTAATAGATACGATAAAAGCACGTGTGTGAGGTGCCATTTTTAGGTACTTAATTAGAAACAATCTAAATATTAATCCGTTCAAATTAAAAAGAAATGCGAAAAGGCACCACATATAATAAACAAAAAAAAAAGCCGATTGTAGTTTCTAATTGGTTACCACTACGTTCACCCCTTCTATAGATCCGTAGGCACCTACGATATTATCATACTTAATGACCACCCACTTTAATCCAATTCGCTCTATTATATCATGCCTTCTGGCAATCAATTCTGACAACATCTCGATAGATAAAAAACAAGTGAAGTAATTTGCAATCTGCTTACAATTAGTTAATGCCACCGTTTTAATGATTGGCCGGAGGGACGTTCTCCCCATAAAAAAAAACCGTCCATACTTCTGGGAAAATGTCAGATGTTGGAGACATTAATTGCGGAATTATGTAGACAAGTTGGGACATGATAAAATAAAGGTTGCGTTAAGCGGTAAAGAAAACAAGAACTTTAATTGTTGAGGAACATGTTTATTATGTCTACAACATTATTCACCCTGTATAAAGTAACATATGAAAATAATTAACTAGTGAAGGTTTCCATTGGTTTGACCTGAAATTTATGTACATCTCTTTGTGAATATTTTGATTGTCGTTAGAAGTTTAGTACTTTTTAGACTGTAAAATAGGATTAAAGAGTTTGATTTCCTTTATAGAGAGTTTACACTCTATTTGAAAAGTTAGTTAGGCATTTTAGGCACTAATTTACACAATTAAAGTCACATTTATGGCAATATACGTTTGGATATCAAACAATTTCCTTTTTATTTCTTTTATCAGTTTTGGGTACCGTTTATTGGCACCTTATATTCAAGCTGTTGTAAATATGTTCCCTGAATAAGATTTTTATCAATTTTATCGTCTTCGGCGATTGATGGATTGTCAATGGGGTTTAATGCATATTTCAGACAGGCAATTTCCGCGCAATCGATGAGATGTTTATTCTTCAATTTCCCGGGACTCCTTCTCACGGAAAAATATTGATCGTAGATAGCTCAGGTGGTCATTGGGTGACGTCACGCCGGTCGAATCGACCCTATCTCCGGGTTTTCTCGCAACTTTGCACCCTTTTCAGATCGAATAAGCGGTAGGGTGAACGTGTCATACCAAACTACCTGACATGCTTGTGTATGTTTAAACAATGAGTGATTCCCTCAGACGTTAATAAGAGCAATCGAGTGGGTTTATCGTCGGTGATGGCCCTCTGGGGTTCTCTAATAGGGCCCCAAGGGCCTCTTGATGGACTATAAAATGGTCAGAAGTGATTAGGTGAGTGGGAAAGTGATTTTACCGAACCCAATAAAGAAAATTGCTTAACAGATTTCGTGGGCAATTCTTAACTTCAATTTAGCTTCTAACTGTTTTTTTAAAGGATTCTATATATATTTAAATAAGTAATAGGTCATACAAACTGCAAAGTTTTGAGCAAAGTAGGCTTGATGTATTATAGTTGTCAAAGTCAAAAAAATGTTCAAACAAGTTAATTAATTAGTTATTATTTAATGTGAGAGTGTCTAAAAAGAATCTAAATTCTTTTTTAATAGCTCCAATAACATTAATAAAACACTAAAATTTATAATAAAATCCAAAAGCTTCTAATGAAAAAAACTTGAGTAATGTTAGTTTTTTCCTTCACGATTAATTTCATTGTCCCTGCAGATGTTATCAATGTAATAACGGGGTTGTGTTCCAAAAAGAAAAGCAAAAAGAAAATGGTAACTGTGTGTCTCAGATTTATTCCTCGAAATTCCTGATAAAATTGAATAAATTCTGAAAATGAAATCATCAACAATTTCCAGAAAATTGACTTACACACACCAATCGATTTCGTTGTAGTGGGGATGTTTATTAAGAATGAACAATATCATGCAGGGGTGCACGGAAAATGGAATGTTCTTTTACATGTATCTACCACCAGTGTTGTTCTGTATCGTACCATCATTATTTTCCGCTGGGTTGCTCATGAACTTGCTATTGTATAATATCGCGATAAAGGTAACACTAGTGCCAGTGAATTTTTAAAAAAACGAAACAAAATACAATAAATAAATTAAAAAAAAGGTAAAATGACGTAACCGATTGGGAATGACCTGGAATAAAATGGGAAAATTTATCGCGTGTTAGGATTCATAAATACGAAAACGTGGTGGTGTTTTTTGTATGTGAATTTTTGGATTTTGCTTGATGCAGCAAGGGGTAAGTAATTACGTTTTAAGGTTTTTCTGTTAATTATCATTGTTTTGGTAAACTGCAGGAAAAGCAATTATTGAAGGTATTTTGCACATTTTCAAAAACATAAAAGAAGGAATAATTGTTTAATATGATTTTAGTATATTTCATAAAAGAAACAAGCAAATTGGTATTACCAATATGTTTAATAGCTCCTCACAAACGGTGACTCAAAGATTTATACAATGTTTTCAAAAATTACAAAAAGAATATGAAACTTCGGTACCTGTTGAAAAAGTTTATGAGGAAGCAGTTGAAATGTTACAAAAAGAGCGACAGAAGAAGTCGCAATTGTCGGAAGAAGAAGGGGAAGCTATCAGTCTAACAAAATCCTTCAAGGATGCTCAAGAACAAAGAAATAGTCAAGAACCAATGTTAAATATTAAAGTAAATGAATTGTTTAAGGAATAACTCTGAAGTTATTTTGTATTTGTCATTAGTTTGTGTTTAAGTAATAAACTAGTACTAGCTATTCAAAACAATATAAAAATCATTTTTTAATTATGTTTTTTTAGTTGTATAAAAATGTAATTTAATTAATGTGCCTATTTTATTATTTAGTTGGTTAAATAATTTTGTGTATTTTGAAGTCTGCAAGCATCAAGAATAAGAAGAATAGTGTTTTAAACTTATCTATGGTTTTGAAAAAGGTTAGGTTATGTTTTGTGGAAACGCCAAAATTTAATTTCAGAATGCAAATTTTATCTTTTTAAGAGAAATATTTTGAATTTTGTGGAATGGAATCGACAGTACGAACATTTGTAAGTGAAGCACACATATTTATACGGCAGTAAATACCTAATTTATATTTGTTTTACTACAGGCTATCCCTAACGAGTTGTGTAGAAGAGCCGGTATTGCAGCTACATGGCATTCAATAAATAATTTAGGTATATTTCCTTCTCAAAGTGTAAATCCTAGTATCCCAGACAGACCAAGCCCATATGGACCTAGTGAAGCCTCGGTATTTAATGTTCGTCAAGACATATTACTATTTGAGCCTATTCTAAGGAAACTTGTGAACGAATCCAATGGAATTTTCTTAAATTTACAAATTCTTACATCTGGTAATGTTGCGAACTTAAAACAGGAACTATTAAAAGTCAGTCATCAGTATAGGTCAGTAATACGTGCATGCTTGGAAAATTTACAAGATGAAGTAGCAAGGGTTGATGAACATACAAGTGAAAATATGAAAAATTATATTACTATATTCTACTCTATTGAATGTATATGGCATCTTTGTGAAATCTTATTTATAGAAAATATACCTGGTAAGTATAATACAATTATATAATTCTAGTCTTCATGCTCCACAAATGTTTGTTTCACTTATCAGGTAGTATAGTTCTCCCACACCTTTTGGAATGGGTCAGGTTTCATTTTCCTAAATATGAAAGGCAAGCAACTATTTATTTAAACTCTGATATTGATAATATTGAATTGGATCCTGATTATTGGAAAACAGTAATTGGTTGTCTTCTTCAAGGGCGAGTGGAAGTTGTTAGGGCTCTTTTGACACTGCATTCATCAGCAAACAGTCCAGTGTTTAAACTGTTTGACCAAACATTAAAGTCGATGCCCATTTACAATGTAAGCAATATTACACACTATATACTTTTATTATAAATTCTTATGCCCACATATATTTATTTAGGTTTATAGTGGTACTTCTGTGACAGAGTTTAATTTACGATGGAAGCATTGGTTGGTAGACACACAGTCGAAGATAGATGCTAAATCATTTGTCTCAGAAAGTCATTTAAACCTTATGATGAAGGTAAATTTCCATTCACTTTCATTTCTTGTCCTTTATCATTATTTTATCCAATTATTTAAAAACATTTATTAGCTTGCAGTTGGTGAAGAACTGGCTTGGAATCAGGTACAAGCTCAGTGTGAGGCTTGGTACGAATTATTAGCCTCCTGGCTGTTTTTTACTGAGCCAACTGTTAAAACTTTTGAGCTAGGTCAGTTTGCTAGACGATGCATTGGTCGTATGGGCGTTAGAGATCACCTAAGACATCTAGACCAAATTCTTTTGGCAGCATTAGAAGCTGATATATTTCAGGTAAATTTCTTATTTTTAATTTGCAATCTGATTAGTATATTATGTAACTTCTTAGGTGATAAAAGAAATTCAGCACATGTCTGAAAATGGGTGGTTTGTGAGCCATTTAACTGACTTGTTATTTCATGCAGGAGTTTTGGATACTTTAGATGGGACCAATGAGGACTTGTAAGCATAATTTAATGTTTTTTGTATTATTTTGTTTCTTATTTTAAATATTAAGGGTGGCTGGACGACTTCGCGAGTCTTTCTTAATTGATTATGGGGTTCTAATGAGTAGCCACCATTCCTTGTGGCAATTGGGCTTAAGTTATTTGGATCATTGTCCCTCAGATGGTCTACATGTTATTCAATTACTGCTGCAAAAGTTGCCTTTAGGAACTGAAGTTCGAGTGCAAAAGATTGTTCGAGAGGCACTTAAAAGAGACCTCCATCCTGTGGGTATGTTAAAGAAAACAATTAAATTTAAAGGAATTGTTTGTAAATATGTATGCAACACATCGTACACTTCAGCATAAGAAATTGCTGATACTAACTACGTAATACTACTTTGCCCTGTGCTGACAGCACTCATAATTTCTTTTATATGTAATATTATATTTGCTCATCAAACCCTATTCGTATAAAATTGCAAAGTGCCTATAGTTTTCAATGTAATAGCGATTAGCTCCATCGCAGCACGTGCGCGACGAGCGGTCTGGTCATTGAGATAAAAAGATGATTAAAGGCTTCCTGGCGACATTAAAACGTGGTATGTGGAAAGTAACAACAAAAAGTGCGGCTGTATTACGAGCGCATTGTTATAAATTTGGTGCTTCTCGTCGCCAGTTATGTAAGGGTTGTTCCGGTAGTAAGGCGAAATATCTGCCGCGGCAAGCAGGAACTTATAAAACTTTTATAATGTCTTTTTTATGAGTCGGTACGACGATGGCGCGCCGCGACGCGATGCGGCGGCTGTTGTATAACTATGGAATGAATATTTTAAAATTAGATTTGTTAGCAGAACTCCTAAGGGATTCGGTCGAAACTTCACTCGGCAAATAAACGTTTTTGATATTATAATACCGTCCCTCGAATTATTTAAGCATAAATGTTGAAAAGTTGGAAGCAACTGTTTCCGATTCACTGAAGCAGCCGCGTTTCCTTGTTACCACTCCTCGACTTTTAAAGATAATATTAACTAAGCATATATGTATCATATAACGTTGCAAGCCTCCTGAATTCAAACGCCGCTTTTTTAAACATACATTCGTAACTGCTTTGCTTTCAGTTTTATATTTAAGCGCCGTACTTCTTACTTTCAACTTTCCCATTAATAAATCTAACTTGATTCAGTTGTTAAAGTTCAAGGGGGTAGTAGAAAAAATAAGAGGGCAAAAAGAGACATCAACATAAACTTGAGAAAATTTCATATATTATCCCAAATACTTTTTGTAAAAGAATTAGTTTTTTTTGGTAAATTCTTCTGGTTCACTTTTAACATAAAAACAAAACTAAAACAATCAGCCGGATTATTATTAAGCTTACGTCTTGTAGGAAATGCGAACAAAACGAACCGTTGGTGTTAAGTTTGCTATATAAAATAAAACATCGGATTTAAAAAAAGAATTAAAATTCACACTAGTCAAATCATATTTCTATGTAATGCATTTTCTATGCTCGTTAAAGTGAAATAATTTAGGTGTTCTTGTCTCATTGTGTTGTTTGACTTATTTAAAAAGCAGTTTATTACTTAAAAATTCGTTTTTGAATTAATATTCTGCCTTAAACGGACTACCTTAATGAGGAAAAGTTGTTGCAGCTTGTTACACCCTCGCCGGGAATCGAACCTGGGAACAACAACGACAAAACGCACCTACTAGGTTTGCATATCAGCAAAACTTATTTAAATATATAAAGCACATGAATAAATTATTTGATTTACTTTATAGAGAATAATGTCTTTATGCACTTTATTAATGTTGAAGCGTTTTCCGTTGCAGGTAGTAATCATCAAATTCAAATAAATGCGTAAGGCCTAGTGCGCACTACGATTTTTTAGTCGCTGCGGTCGCAGGAAATAAAACCGATGCACGCACTTGCGACCAAATAATCGCAGCTTTTAGTCATTTTCAAAATGAGCGTCACAAAAACAATGTGTATTATGGCATTGTTATTACGAATAAATGCTAATAATACTAAAAGGAAGTAGAAGAAGCAGTATTGGTTCCATCCTATCATAAATCAGAGATTAGTAAAACGGCAATTTTCTTTTTTCAATTTCGGATATAATTTTTTCCGTATCCAAAACACTATATGACGTTTCTTCTTCCTTTGCAACAAAAGATGCATAATATGACTCGTTTGATAACCACAACGTATTCATTCATTATTCACAAAACAGCAGGTGATAATCATTGGGTTGCCACAAAGTAGTCGCAAGTGCGCGCAGGTTCATTGATGTAGTTCTTAGGCTTTCACGGCCGGCGTATATCGATGCGGTGTTTTCTTTCGGGCTTTTTGACCGTGATCCGTGGCATTTTACTTTTCCAGTTACGACTCAGCACCTGCCCAATCACCACTGAAGATGCAAAGAACGGCGAAACGTTTGGAAAAGTAAAATTCCACGGACCACGGCCAAAAGGCCCGGATGGAAACACACCAGGTTCATTACTGTAAGTACAATTCGTTCTACATCCGCGACAATCGCGCCACAAGAAAAATATAACCAGCTACGATTTTTTTAATCCTTTTATTAAAAAGGAAAAAATCGTAGTTTGCTTCATCTTCATTTATTTAGTGTCAGAAAACGTTTTAGCGTTTTCATATTTACGTTCATATTTTCCCAAAGGGACAGTTTTGAGTTTTTTCCAGTTATCAATTAAATTTTTCGATACCAATAAATGATACCAACAAAAGGTAGTTGTGTTTAGTTAATACATAAATAAAAAAATCAACGTTGAGCTTTTTTTTCAGACGACTTTAAAAGCCTTTTGACTCCTACAATTCCCGGGTCCTTTCATAGTCCCAGTCCGCCCCTGCACAATAGAATCCTTACGTAAGTAGGTAATATAAGTTCTAGTTTCAAGCTGCTACAGTCAATTCTAACTTCGCCTTTTTAAGGAAACATCGCCGGACAACATTTATCAAGGAAAAAAGGAAACGTAACCGAGGAAATTGAAACGATATATTAGACATCGCGTCACATTTCGTATCATTTTTTAAGACCTTCACGATAGCGGGTTTTGGCTGCGTACGATATCGTCATCAACACGTTCCATTCCATTTGATCGACTCTGAGAACTATTGGATTCTGCCAAATACGTTTATTTTATGGACAAACGCAAAAAATAAACCAAAATCTTTTAGAATGTTTCACATAAAGAAATAGGAGATACTTTAAAAGAGAATTAACTTCCAGTGGTGTTCGCGTTTTTAATCTTTCAAAATCGATAAAAACTTTATTACTGCGATGAAGCTAAGTTGAAATTAAGTTAGTGGGAAAAGTAAAAAGTTTCCTTTCAACTTGCCTTCATTAGACTGAAAACTTTTGCGGTATAAAGTCAATTATAATAGATCAAATACTGATTCTGCAACTAAAGATTGAGTAATTATTACTTTTATAACGGGGTAGGTATTAGAAATATTCTTCTATAAATATTTAAAAGAAGAACGGAGAAATAAAATTTTACCTAATTCACGAAATTGTTAATATTGTCTATTCCATTTCATTTAGTTACTTAGGAATGTATGGCAACGACAGAAAAAAATTCAAAAGCGTAATATATTACATTCTTGCTAAATTTGGGTGAAATCTTGACCAAAAAATTTTTTACCATATTGCCAGTAAATACCTTCTCAAATGTTTACTTTGATAAACTTTAGCTTCATCATCATCATCTTAAAGTCGTCAGTCCTAAGCGTCAGTGGTTGGACACGCACCTCCTCTGTTTCCTAACCTAAGCTAATCTTCACATTTCCCTAAAACTACAACAACCCACATCCTTACCTATTTGCGAGCGAACAGTAATTTAATCTAGGTCTACCACTACCCCTCCCAACTCCCATTTCCGCCTCTAATATGTCTCTGACTAAACCTTCATGCCTGAAAGTCCTCTATTCTCCAAGTACTTCGAATCGGAGAGGAAG